GTATATATCTTAAAGACTTCTAAAGCTATATCAACCAAACTTTCCGAGGAGAATCCGTATACCAGATCTTTACTGCCTCCCAATATACCCTATGTAATGATTTGCGAATTCCCACCTGTCTTTAAACCGTTAAGGTTGGTCAAAATGTGTGATATTTTAAGTGGATAAGCTTTCTTAAAAATTATGTGATTTAGCGCTGAATATGAATGGAATTGGTTTAGACCTTGGTCCAAATCTCATATCCTTATATAATCAATTCTCACCCTCGGGTTAACGTTTTGAACAATAATTCAATACATTGAAGTTATCCTCTTCGCTTGAGTTTTTGTTAAATATATCTTGTTTGAAGATGATTTCAATACAATTTTCGCTGACTCGTGGAAAGATATAGTTATAGAATTACGTGCGTCTAATACCTATAATATAAGTTAATAAGATACAAATTTTCATTATAATCCATTCACGATTTCTTCGAACAATGGCTGTTGAATTTTTCGGAACATTTTTGACAACACCTGAAAGTACGGAAAATATAGGGTTCGGTGGATTTTAATACAAAATTTTGCGATAAAACAAAAGGTAGGGAAGAATCTAAGAGTTTCAGCAAGTTAATAAGATACAAAGTATGATTATTGAGTTCATAAGCAAGCTCTTTTAATATATATTTTTGAGAACACCTAAAACATGGCCTTCAAATTGAGAAATTATAAAATGTTTCGCGGTACCGAATTTAGCATACAACATGTATTATTTTTTTTCACCAATCGGCGCCAAACCTTGTACCAGCATTTGATGGCGATAAAGAATAATTGTTATTATATATATTTTAACATTTTTGTTTTTATTTATTTATATTATTATTATAATTTGCTTACACTACATACATATACTTATATAATAAAAATCGCACAATTGTTTACAAACAAATAAATATTATTACAAAGCACACTTAATAACAGCAAATAACATTAGATATATTTAACTCTCAAGTCCAGCTCTGTCGAGATACGGATTTTTTAATTTAATTAGATTTTTGAGTGCTCGAACCGCATTTTCATTTCGTCTTATATACATTTCTGATTTAAAGGAATCTCTCAAGGGTGCTTCAAACGTAATAAAGCCCATTGCAACATTGAAACACTGAAGGAACACCAGGATTGCAATCACAACAAATTGTATTTCCGAATTTTTTAAGTATTTCATTTTAATGTACGTTGAAACCACAATAAAATCAGGATAAAAATACGCCGAGTAATGAGTTCAGTTGTTTTTCGTTGCAGACTATATGTTTGCCGTTACAAACCGCGTTTATATACCCATTTCTTATCGTCGAATAACAAACAATTGTTCTCTCGATTTGATGGGGGAAAAAGCTTTCTTTTCTCTTAAATTTAAAGAGCATTCCAAAATTTATGTGCTTGATGTTTTTTTCCAATGACATGGCTAAAATATCTTACATATTATTGGCGTAATTATGCTAAGATTTATTAAATTTTGGAAATTTTAACATTTTTGGACGGTGGATTGATTCTGACAGCAATTTATTAAAATATAATTAAATAGGCCATTGTGTATTTTGAAAATTTTAAAATATTTTTGACTTGTATATTAATTATGTGACCATTAGTTTACTGCCATCAATTCAGCAATTTAAAACATTGTTCCTATGAGAACTTTCGTTAGTCCCACTGTAACGAATCTGATGTGAATAAGCATAGACCGCAGTCAAATCTAAAGACGTGAATAATATTCTGAAGAAAATTATAATTTTAAGAATACACAATTGAGTCATAAGCAATATAAAATGTAAGAGTGAGTAAAATTTTGTATCGCGGTTTCGGTTCGCAGTTCGTACAATCGACCTAAAGCTCCATTTAGGGGCATAAGCAAAGGTGTTATGTTTTTTATTTGCCCATAAAAACTTTGTTTTTGGTGATGCGAAATATAGGTATAAGGTATAGTTTTTCATTACATATCTTTTTTTTCTAAGCGATTGGTAAAATGTGTTAAGAAGAAAAATAGTAATTGAATATATATAACAAACCTGGTAAGCTCTCAGCTGCTAGAATATGCTTAGCTTAATTAATTCATATAGTGTAATTATATTAAATTTATATTGTAAATACTTTCTTAAGAAACGATATCTCTCTAAATTTTCAAATATGTACCTTTTAAAGTGATTAAATCTTCAGGTCGTACGATTTTGAACAGAAGCGCAAAATTTCGAATCGAAAATGGATTAAAGTCGCTTAAGAGGCGAATTGCGTCAAGCAACAAACTATGCAACTTTCTCAATGATGTTGTTAAGTAAAACATATTGACGACATTATGCATCATTTCAGGAAGAATATAAGAACTATTACAGATAAATATGAAATATATTTCTCTTTTATATTACATTTTACATTACATAAAATCTCAGGTCACATTTACTATTATATACATTATCACAAAACGCTGCTCAGAAGCTCTTCAAACCAAAGTTAGTATCCTTGTATATGTATCCTTTATCCAGGTTTTTTGTTTGCTGCTAATAATTTGGCCTTAAATAATTGTAAGGACTTGAGATGGTGCCGCGTGTAATGTTCGGCACTAATTGAGCCCTCCATTGGATCTGATATCAATCTTCGTACGAGAAGCTTTTTAATATTAATGGACTGGACAACGACTAAAGATGCCAAGGCCATTAACAACCACAATTGTATGTTTGATTTTTGTAAAAATTTCATTTTGAATCACAATACAAGCTTGTAAATGAAGATAATATAAAAAAATTCTAGTACTATAGTTCTAACTGAACAAAAAATTATAAAGATGGCTCTTATAAAGGTGTCAATTTCAAAACATATGTACGTACATAATTACAGTTTCATTAATAAAATAATTGTGAGGTAAGCATATACAACTTATGCATAATTCTGCGGTAAAATAAAAATGTAACCTCGCTCAATGTAAAAATTAAAAACGACTATACACATTTGAAAGAATATGGAACTACGTCAGATACTAAATGTTTCTAAATGAAGGGGAGCTTGAAGAGTCCCTTCACACCAAATATGGCAATTATGCTTATTTACATACGCGTTAAGTCAGTAATGATGATAATTGCCGAATATAAATCTCCTATTGCCAAATTGTACCGAACATAGCTTAAATGTCAACGCCTTTGACATCCATTCTTCATATTTTTCTGTCTTATGTTGTTGCTAAGTACCAATACGCACCACTTTATCAAAGAAGAAAAAAAATGTTAACTTCGGTTGCATCGAAGCTATAATACCCTTTACAAATAAAAAAGAATCCTTATAAGAACTTTTGTCGCTCCGTATGTATGGCAGCTACATACATGCTATAATGACTCGATCTGACCACTTCTGAACTTGCAACGCTGCCTTAGTCAAAATTTCCTGAAGATATTTTGTCAAATAAAAAGTTTTCCATACAAGCACTTAATTCCGTACGTTCAGTTTGTATTACAGCTATACACTATAGTGCCCCGATAGAAAAGGACGGGTGCAAAATTTGATTTTGAATTCGGGGTTAACTTTATATACCCTGTTTAGGGTATAATTACTTACTGACCAACGCTTGGCCAATCGATTACATCTTTTTTGTTGTTATCAATTTATTTAGGTAGCATACCCGTATAAGTATGTAGATACAAAATGAGTCTAATGAGTTTTATTATAAGTAAACATATTTGTTGCAGTTTCATTTTGTTAAAGAATTTTAAGATTGCTGTATATACCTTGTTTTTGAATTTATATTGAAATTTATTTGAACTGATTAAATAACTATGTAACCTTTCTATTTAAAGTTGTAAAATAATACTTTCTGGGTGCGTTGAGTGCGCAGCTTCCAGTCGATGGATTGTGTTTTATAATCTCGGTCGAGATAATAATTATTGAATTTAAAAAACAAGTTAGTACATAAATTACAACAAAGCATTCCGAAAGGCTTTATAAAACTTTTCAGTTTTTATATTTTTGTTTTTGATTACGAGGCTTTTCCTAAAATCAGATCGAAAATGGGTGAATTTCGTTATAGCCCTTCAGACCGGGCGAAGACCCGCCAATTCTCTAGCAAAGAGGACTTTTATTAACTTGTAAACCGTTGATTCAAAAGTTTCAGGACTTTTATTAAAAAACGAATATTATTTGTTTTTTTTTTTTCGAAAAATTTATTGGTCGCCTTCAAAATAGTCTCCTTCCGACTAAATACAACGTTTTGCACGTTCAAGAAGGTTATCGAATGACTTTTTTAGGTCAGTTGCCATCCATTCGCGATATTCGGGTCGAATGCGATGAATACGTGCTACCAAACGCTTCAAAACTCCAAGGTAGAATACCGCATTAACGTTTTGGCCAGGTGGAACAAATTCTTTGTGGACAATACCCTTGGAATCATAAAAACAAATCAGCATTGTCTTCACTTTTGACTTCTCTAGGCGCGATTTTTTGGGTTTCGACTCATTTCTAATGTATGTCCTCACGACTACTTTGAAAACGTTTAAACCACTCGTGCATACGGCTACGGGATAGACAATCATCGCCATAAACTTGTTTCATCATTTAATGAGTTTTGGTAAAAGTTTTACCAAGTTTAAAACAAACCATAATGTTGGCTCTTTGTTCGATGCTCATTTTCCGACCGACACTACAAATGTAATGTCACATGTAGCGCGATATCTCAGCTGTTATACAAGTCAGCTGTTATATAAATTTTATACTACAACGCTGAAGAATACACAATTGAGGGATGACAACTTTAGATAGATGGCGCCACTAGAAGCCGCGTTGTTTAAAAAGTCCTGAAACTTTTGAATTGCACCTTGTATTAGAATATATGCATGTGTATGTATTGTATAAGGCAGAAAAGTTGAATGATTCCTGCATATATATGTGTTAAGTATGTATGGTAAACAAAATGAAGAGATTAACTGAAATAAACGGTGAATGAAAAAATAAAACGTACATATGTATGAACATAGCTTTCAGTGCTGCCGTTGGGAGCGGTATGAACATGAACATATGCTTGTGTGTGTACTTATTGTACTATATACACGTATAATATTTCATTTAAGTGTTGCGATTGCTAAGTAAATAATTATTTGCAGATGCTTGTAAGTAAGCGTGTATAAAGCACTTTAAATAAAAAAAAAACAAAACACAAGCGCATTACACTGATAAGGTTGACGAGCAGTCAGATTAAACAAGGCAAGTTCCACATTTTAGTAATTGTTAATATACTAAAGAATCAACAACACAAAAGCACGCGAACATTTAGAATATAAATAAAAGCGGTATAAACAATTAAATAGAAGAAAAATGAAATTGCTTTATTACATATTTGTGCTGTTTCTGATTGCTATTAGCGGTATCGTGCAGCTTCAATCCAATCTCGTTACCAGCAAAGTGATTTTTTATACAAGCAAAAATAAGACTGAGGAGAGCAGCATATTTTCAATACATCGACGTAAATGTCCATACGCAATGGATCATCTAGGACGTTGCCGCAACGTAAGCAAATGCTCCAACATTACTATTATATGTTATAGGATTGAGTTTAATTAGTTGCTATTTACAGTTTGAATAAGCGAAGCTGTAGACGAAATCGGAACACGCAACTGTAAAAGTGACAAATTACAATGTTTTTATGATATTGGAAATTTATTTTATTACTATGTATGAATGTACTGCTCCAACCGCTTTGACACCACTGATGAAATAGCAATGAAATGTATTTTTTTGTAAAATTTTTGATATTCCAAATAAACGTCACAGTTAAACAAACTGATAAGCTCGTGAAAACAATTAGCATGTGCTCGTCGTAGTGCAAACAAAACAAATTGTATACAATCTTTGGATAGCTCCAAAGCGGCGACGAAAATCGCGTATAATGAATGACTCAATTGTGAAGACAGAATTTCACCGCACTGCGAAATATGTAAAATGCTAAAGTATAAAAATAGCCTGCTTCTACGTAAAATGAATCTATGTTTGCACTGCAAATATTTGGCGTCAAACTGCTGCCTCAACGGTAACACTACGTTAACGGTGCTAATTGGGGCTTATGCAAAGTAACCCTGCTTGTCATCGGAGTAATAATTTACCTAGCAATGGTTCATATACTTAGATTGGAGGAAACGTAGTGAAAAAAACCTCAAACTTCATTATGCAAGAGTTTCTGATATATCAGGACCGACACTTCAAATTTTTTGATAGATTCGTTATGAAAGCATAATATTGAAAATGAGAACATGACTAAGAAATTGATCGACGGAACTGATCTGTGCGTATTTTAAACTTTTCCTTTTTATCCCATTACAACATTTTTTTTTTACTGCAATATATAATATTAAACGATATTCTATGCTGACATGACGATAAAATTACAACAAATTAAATTTAAATCATTTTACTATTCTTAAAAACAAAATTATGTTGTATATTTGTGTTTTCGTAACAAATTATTGTAAGTTATTTACCTAAATATATCATTCACATCAGATACCAATTTTATATACACAAGTTACCATCTAATGGAAGCACCCCTTCTGACACCAAAAAGTTTTGCTCTAAGAGCCGAATAAATAGTGAAAAAGTCATTAATCGATTTGATTAAACTTGGGGTTTTCACATTAATCATAAAAAAACAATATTTTCTACCAGTGTCTTTTTGAATTCCCCTGCCCTGTTTGTTTAATAGTCTGTGATTGATCATCAATACTTAGTAATAATATAGAGTTATATAGCGGAAGCATCTACTAGGTCACCGATACGTTTGAGACACCTAATGAACGTATTCGATCGCAAGTAGCCGTCACAGTGGCAAATCATTTACTATTCCTATAAATTTGAGTTTTCCAAATCAATCACATAAATTCTATTTATACAGTGTTAATCCCTTGATTTCTTATGGTCTGTGATTCATCATAAATATTTAATAATAGTATAGCCATGTGCTACGAAGCATGACCGATCGTTTTTTCCATTATTTTATCTCTATATGTATCAATACGTAATATCAGCTGTGCTCTTGGTCTGAGGTTCTACCTCATCAATTTCTGAAGGTTCTCTTAGGCGATAAGTTTTTATCTATAAAATGAGTGCAGTTCTGAGAACATATATATATTACCTTTCCATTTTAAATGCCATGTATTTACGTTCTCCATTCTATATCTGTTCTATTTGTTGCAAATGAAGATAGATATACTATATGCCACTACTAAAAACAAACACTAATTAAAAAACAAATTGCATCTTCTGATACTATAAACGCCTGATACCAAAAGATAAATATATATGTATATGCATACATGCAAGTATATATTATAACTGGAAATTGTCTTGCACAGGGTATTTAAATAAACAATTTTGAATGAAAACGTTTTTCAATCTGAAGTTCAAGAATGGTTTGATCTTAGTTATTTTGATTGCGTGTTTAGAAAAGATCATAGAAATGCCCCTGAAAGGCGCTTTTTTGAGATGCTTCTGGCCTAGATTGAAACGCAGTAGATCTATTGAACTGCTTGCTCTTAACAAGGCTAAAAATCTTGTCGAACGCAATTTGTCAATGTTGTATGGAGGAAGGTGAGGTCGAAACGTGAAGGCACTGAGATTGAAACATCTCGGCAAATCGAGATTTATATTAGCCGCTTCAACAATTATATGATAGGCTCAGAGCGCTTTGCAATATATGACGATGTTTATAGTCAATACATAAAAGTTGATCATTACGGACCGGAGTTCCAAGCTATCCAAGTGAGATTCTTGTAAACGTTTTCTAAGTCTATGCTCCCGTTATATATAAAAAAGAATAGAAACTTGGTTATAAAAGAATAGTTTGATTTTTCTTAGTCGCTCTCAGTCGGTTCTACGCGACGGGAACGAATTTGCATATTTTTCTGCCAGTACACTGTCAACTTAGAAATATTACTCAAAGTTATTTTAGATTTTCTTTTCTGCCATTATAGTAATCACAAAAAGATTGTTTTATGTGAACATTTCAAAGACATTTGCTTTATTTTCGTAACCTATGCTACTAGATAAAGTTATAGTTCGATTTAGTTCTTTAGGATTACTAACCAAATTAGGGTATCAAGCAAAATATGGAACCATTTACAACGTCGATATTAGTTTGGCTCATTTTGATTATCGTATCAGCATAGTAAATCATATTTAGCGCTTGGAAATATAAAAACAAGTTCGGTTAGGTAATTAGTAAAGCGAGTTTCTTACTCTCACATATCATACTTGTTGATAATCATTATTACTTTTATTACATTTATGGTTATTTTAAAATGTAATGTTTTGGACTCAAGAGACCGTTATAACGAATTATATAAATTTCGAATTCCAATGGCAACAAAATTGAGACACACCCTGTAATATGTTAAGCGTTTAAAAAAATAATAATAATAAGATAAAGTGATAATAATTGTTATCAATATATGTCGATACGCAAAGTCTCAGTGAGCACAGATGCCATATAGCGTTCTCTAAATAACGCACTCCTACAATGTTTAGACGTCGCTAGGTGAGCAAGTCGTACGAGTGTGAGTGTGCGTATGCGGAGCGACCACACCGTAATGCAATCACCTTCGTTCACTCCCATAAGGGTTTCTTAAGTAGTGGCACGAGGAATCGTTTGTGATCAGTTTAAGACCGGCATTTGTAGCGAAGCATTTTGTATAAATTACTATGAACAATTGCGAAAATCCAAACAAATATTTATTTTAACTCGAATTGTTGGCTGTTTGCGATTATATGTATAAACATATTTAGTCAACACAAATAGTGAAATAAAGTTTTTAAATAAATTTATTAAAAAATTAGAGATAATTGCAATGGTTTCCAAGAAAATTACAGTATGGACATTATTGATGGTGGCATTTTTAGTATTAAGTAAATCCACCGAAACGGAGTGCCGTCGCGTGATATTCTATGCACCACAAACAATAAAGATTTACACATCACAGATCTTATCGTCGCGTGTGAAGGAAAAACCGTGCATAAAATGTCATATGCGAGATCATCGTGGCGTATGCCGACGTGTTCTATCATTTAACGGCAGTGAGTATTGATTCTTACGGTTCAATATTTGTAACAACTACTTTGTAAAATCATTGCGAGTGTGCATACTTGTACAAAGTGAAGTCAGCAATCTATAAATATTACCATAAGTAGACCCCTGGCACATACAAACATGCATACTGATATACCGCATATTTATCGTGGAGTAAAGAAAAAAATATTGACCTTGTCAAAACCTATCTAATCTCGTTGCAATGACACTAAAGAACATTAAATATGTTTACTTACTTACTATTTTTTTCCGTTTCAGATGGTATTAAATGCTGAAATATTACTGCGGTAAAATCGCTGCATGTATGGAATCTCCACTTGTTGAACACCGTTGCCTGTATGCTAATGCAACTGTCTGAGTTAATGTTTAAGTACATTAAGATGTTAAATTATTTTAGTTGTAGATCAAAAGCTCATGTAGTGTTTTCTAAGTAATTATTTATTCAAGAATAATTTATTAGTATAATATTCGAATAAAAAAAAAATATTAACAGACCATGTTTAAAGTGAATTGATGCTAGGTATTTAGATCTATAATAATATCTATAAACAATTAATAATAAAAATTGAAAGTGGTTTTATTTATATCTGCGCTCTTACTAAGCGAGCGGAAGTGGAATTTTCAGTAAGAAGTACAAGCATAGCCGATTTTTCGAGCACAAGCAAGGTTGTTTAAAAAAAAGGCGTTTTGAAAATTATATGAAAATAAATATATGCTTTAAACAATGCGAGTCCAAAGGTTTCCAATATTACAACCACAAAAAATAAAGCATATTTCTAATAACTGAGTTGTTATGAGTGTTGTTGAATACTTTCAGTGAAATTTTATCCGAATTCAACATTATCTTGCTCACAAAAAAACAAACCTAGGGTGTGTTGTATGTTACTGTGTAGATTTCGTTATACTCGTTCAAAATTCATCGTAATCCAAAATTAGTTATAAGGAAGTGGTAAATTTATTTGTACAATATTACATACTGTGTTCACTCTAATCTGGGGCTCTTACTTAAATCAGATGAATTGGAAATTCACTTGAGCATATAAAAATACACACAAGCATCATTTTTTCGCTGGAACTCTTTAAAGAAAAAATCAATCTATTTCAAAACAAGAAACAACGATTCTATTCTTCACAAATAAAAAAAAGTTTCCTAACAAAAAAATAATTTTGATCGTTCGATTTGTATGGTAGCTATATGCAGTAGTGGTCCGATAAATACCCGATCAAATAAAAAAGTTTTTCTTAGGATGTGTGCAAAATTTCTGATCGATATTTTGAGGCACTAGTTCTGACTGACAGACGAAATGAATTCATCACGCTAATCATTTATATATATTTTATAGGTTCTCCGTCGTTTGCTTCTGAGTGTTACAAAGTTCGTCGCAAACTTAATATACCTTGTCAAGGGGATGAAAATAGATGAGATTACCGACTTTTAGCCATGAAACATCAATATAAATCATATATGTATACTTATATTGTAATGTGAATATTGTTATAAGAAAAAAACTCATGTGAACTTATTTTTTTACTTTAGTTAAGGGAAGTGATCATACCAGAATGCGATAGTATATTGCGACACTTAAGAACAAAATTTATTGTACGAGTTAAATAATATCATATAGAGGGACGGAAGTGATTAGTTTTCATATTTTGCAGTTAGCTATCTCGACAAAGGCCGATATTTGAAAATATGTCTACATTGTTGACATGTATTTCAAATCCCCTCATTTAATAGAGTAGCCTTATGATTATCAGTTGTGTACCAATTTTCGTCAAGGTATCCCGACTTTGTCTGGGTTTGTCGGATCTGCGACGGACAGACCAACTGAGAGACATCCCGAAAACAAAATCATATATCAATCTTTCTAATAAATAAATAATAAATATATTTACCATGTAATTTCGATGAACATTTCGAGATCTTAAGAGATATTGATATTCACATAAAGTGAAAGTTGGGAATAAAATTCTACTCTTGTTTAACAACTTACTTTCTTACTTATTTGCTTTAAACAAAATATTTTTTAATCAGCATAATCTTAGGTTGTAACTTCAATATAATTTGATACATTTTTAAAACACAAATTTCAATATTAGTTGCTAGCCCTCATCGCTTTTATTAAAATATATTATTAATATCTGTTTTATATTTTTTTAAATTAAAGTTCAACATATGTATGTATATATGTATATAGTTTTTACACATTTTTAGGTATGTTTAAATTATTCTTAAATTTTTCGACCATTTTTTGTGGATTTTCTGCTCCTTTATAAAAGTTTCCGAGTATCGTGCCTTCAATAGGATCCCTTATCGTTGGCTGTATCAGATGTTTCTTGGCCAAAGTGTGAGACTGGACATGTACCAAGGTTATCAGAACTATTAGAACAACGAGTTGCGTACTCAGTTTCATCTTAAGGCAAATCCACAAAACAGAACAGGAATTTCACCGACAGTTGTAGTTCAAATACTTGTTGTTAACTAAATTTATTGCGCTGATCTTCACATTTATATACGCTCATAATCATTAAACTTCGCATCCGTAAATGGTATAGTAACTTCGGTTAGGAAGTGAGCTTTAAATTTCCAACCACAATAATATTATATATACCTAAATTTATCATTACGAGCTGGTGTATTATTGCGGTATGGTAATGATGTAAGTCATTAGTTCCACGGTACTCAGCCCAATGACGTTTAGGCACATACAAATTCTTAGTAAAACTGATGTGCAGATGTATTTTCGAAAGTAAGGTTTGACAGGCTAGCTGATTTAAATAAGCTTAAAGATTTGATATAAATTATGATATTATGCTAGAAGACGGCATGAAATGATTTTGATACAAAGATTTGTCAAAATGATTAGTATGCGGAAACGAATCTGTCCGACCTTCCACAAAATTACCTGTTTAACATATCGATATGGCATGAAAATGAGGGAAATCGGATAATAACCATACCACTAGTCTCTACTCTGGTTCACTTAGTTATAGGTTATTAAGCCAGATATCTCAAAAAAATGCATAATTTTTTTTCCAAAATATCTTATTTTCATAATTTCATTATAGCCAGATTCAACACCGTTTCCTGAGCATATTTTCAGGCGTCGTCGTTTTGACCGCTGACTATTTGTCGAACACTGCGATTTTCATATTTAATTTGCGAATAGGGACATAGTAACACTTTTAGATAAAGATTTTATGGTAAATTTTATGTACACTTAGTGCCAATAAAATAGTAACGGCAATTTTTATATAGGAATTAAAAATTTATATATGTATATGAGAATTTAGTCATGTTAACAAATGAGATTCTAACTAAGTTATGCGATTATTTGAACAGGGTATATAAAGTTTGGCGCGAAGTTTGTAACACCAAAAAGAAAATGTCGGAGACTTTATGAACTACAAGTATATATTATATATGAATGATCAGCATGACGAGTTGAGTCGATTTAACCGTGTCCATCTGTCCGTCTGTCGGCAACGAGGTAATCTCCGAAGAAATCTGATCGGATCACTATAGTACATGTTACCAGAGTCGTGTTTATATTGCACTAAAAAAAAACGAAATTACTTTATGAATGACTTCACTTCCATACATAGATAGACATTGCCAAAAATCATTATCATCATTAGTTATGAGAGAAATAAACTCTAGAAAAGAGGCATATGTACATATATCATATGGATAATTAAATTATAAAATAAGTTAAGTTATAATGTCAACAGCAGAAAATTGAAAACTCCAAACCACAATTTCCGCTCTTTGAGCAAAGTGTGTATTTTAATACATTGACATAATTGTGTCATAATTGGAAACCACTTTAATTGTGTGACAAAGTGTAATCCACCACCTTTTAATATACTTAGTTGCCAAGCGCTATTTCGCTCGGCGTAGCTTATTTATGTCGAAATGACGTTTTCTACGCATACGCTATATGTTACCTATGTAGGTAAATACGTAATCTACAGCTATGTCATCGATTCAACGAAATTCTTGTGGACTTTCGTCACACTACTCAGAAAATTCAGCTCGGAGTATTGCACTGTTGTGTCTATGGGCCGTGACATTTAGAGTTTTGCCGAATGTATGACATCGTGCCTGGCGCCACAGTTTATCTAGCAACCGCTACAACAGTTTTAAAAATACAATGCGCTGAAAATAAATTAGTTTTTAATAATTATCAACTTGATTTTTCTTCGGATGTATGTAAACCAATCAATTCCATACATATAAACGTTTGTAAGTATGCAAACGACACCTTTTACAATACCTTATCTAAAGAATTCGTGAGTAGTGTGAATAATGCACAGTATCGCAGCTAAAAAGTATGCGAGGGGATTTCTAAGGAGAGTGCCACATTTCGAATAGAGTGTTAAATGAAGCTAACAACTAAAGTTTTGATTCGTTTAACTTCGATAGCAGTTAACAATTATTTGAAATGCACCAAAAGTGATAAAAAAAGGAAATAACCGTTTCGTCTCGTTACTTTTTCTGGAGGGCAGAGGATAGGAAAATATGGGGATTGTGTTATTATAAGTGTAAGTATGGGCGTTGGTTACAAACTGCGCTTCATTCCTTTTCTTAACATTCTTATTAGTGGTAAGATACCAATAACACTATTATTAAATTTGTAAAATACATTATACAATTTGTGAGTGTTCCAAAAATGTTAAATTGGCTCAGCTCTCTCGGGTGTTGGGATTTTGTGAATATTTTCTTGTTAGTTACAACATTCGGTGTCGAGAGAGAGGGTGGGCTACGAAGAGGGTGAACTGGTTGTTTAAGAACTATCTTCAACAATATGGTATAATTTAATATATTACAACGTCTGAGACCTACCAGCCAACAACCCATAAGAATCACCGTCTTAATTGATAATTTGCACTTGTATTAAGAAATAACTTCATACATTTTATTAACATTCCGTTACTGCTTGTTAATTTAATCTTATCTACAAATTGTTTGCAGTGATAAACCCAAACCCCCCTCCAGTCGTAAGATATGCGTCGCACGACAACACCTCTTACATATATTCAAAATATTTCATGTTAGCAATCAATATAAGACGACGCGTGAACGATACTAAATAGCAAGTCGCTAGAATTCAGCGCTAGCTATTAGCTATAGTATTGCTTTATCTTTTCATACCTTCGCATGAAGAAATATTAAAGCGGACGCGAAACATACAATACCATTCTGTATTAGATCGAACGCGTGACATAGAAAAACGCGGGTATTAAATTGTGTAAAATTGATTTACAATTTCAAATTCATCGTTAAACAACAGTATAAAGATTTATAATTTTCAAAGATGCATATACTACGTGTTATTGTATTCATACTTTTTGCATTTGTGCTGATCGTTTCCGAATTTTGGGCAACAACTGAGGCGACTAAAGTGATCTTCTATAATCAAAAGTCCTCCGTGCAGAAAAGTCAATTGCTTTCGACACAGATAATGTCGCAACCTTGTCCAAGAGGAAAAATGCGAGATCATCGCAATCGTTGTAGGCGTGCCGTTATATTTAGTAGGAGTGAGTATGAGTTTGCAAATAAAAACATTTGTGAAATAAAATAATATATGTACATATATGTATCATTTACATAAAAAAAGATGCGTTCAGTACAGTACACGTGATAAAAGTAAATACTTCTTTACCGATTCATTAAGAGTGAAAGTGGGAGAAATAAAGAGAGAGAAAGAATTGTACATATTACATATTACAGGGATAATATAATTTAATATATATTTTTTTCTTTAATTTGTATATTACCTTCAGTCAGAGCAGGTCGTTATTCATATCTAAACCGAATTTTTCACGAAGAAAGTGAAATGGTGGCAAGGACGCATTATACGCAAAATTTATGTTAAAGTCACCAATTAGAATAAATGGTATGTGATTATCACCCCAGACAAGGAGATCTGCACCACCACGAGTGTACATAATTAACGAACTCTGTATGAAATACGTGATATCCTTTAGTTTGTTTTGGTTAGAAGATAAATATGCAGATCGTTGCGATGACAATTTCTTTTCTATTTGATATTTTACATTTACTCAAGCTGATATCGCAAATTTCTGTCCAAATCACTGTATATGCAGTGGAATTTATTGCACTCATATCAAAATGTTGATTGTCAATGCTTAATGTATCGCAATTATAATAAAAGATCGCAACAGCTCCTTTTTTGCTTTGAATATTGTAATCACGTTCTGCAAATATTTCCGTTGTGCTTATTCCTCAAAAATCCACATGTTTTTGTTTAAAACTAATAATTTGTTGACGTTTTTAGTCCTTAGTGCTGTTCTCCGACCAGATTTTAGCGTTCCAGGTTATGTTAGTTAAACATTCTCTCGGACTTTGTAAAATTGAAATTAATTAATATTTAATTAAAATAAAATAAAATTAAAAATAAAATTAAATTAACGTGATATTCTATTAGACGCGCTGTAGGCAGACTATTGTAACCGGTTTATTACCCAATAGCTGATTTCTGTTGAAGTTTCTATGAATCTCTTATTGCAAGTTTGCCATTTTTAGAAAATTATTGGTAAGTCTAGTTAAGGCATAAACCATCGATAGTCAAAATAAACTATCGATAGTGAGACGAAAATAAAACTATTGATACTACCGATAGTCCCATCGATTGTTTTGCAGCTCTACAAAGAAGTATTCACTTTAAAAACTAAATTCTAGAATGTAAAATCGAAAATATGCATTTGTAAATGTGTTTGTGGGTAGATCATCGGATAAAGAAGGTTTTAATTACGATTCAGTGGCCACGTTTTGTGAATGTGATATAAATATTACTGTTATCAGTAAAGAAACATATCGGGAGTCTTAAATGGTCGAAATATCAACTATATATATTATCTCTGTCAAAAATATGAAGACACATGTATGTGTAGGTATTAATTACAACCACCTTATGTAACAAGAAAGCTCTAGGAGCGGAGGTAACATATTTAAAAGTTAACAGACTCTGAAATTGTCAAACATTTCGACCATTTAGGAATAATTGAACAGCGTTACCAGATCAGTTAAAATAGGAAAAATTGACAACTAACCAACACGAAGGAAGCGATTCGTGTAACCCGCCAAATTTTCTGAACCCTGAAAGGAAGAAGAGTTTGTTCGACGAGGAGCTGCAGGCTGTTGAGCTACGTAAACAAGATTGCAGAAATGCGATTTAGACTTACGTTATTTTGCAAAGCAGTAGTTTTATATTCTTGCAACTTGCAAGGATCAAAGCCCGGGAAATTCCTTCAATTAATTAATTTTATAAATACATAAATCATACACTAACGTAATTTTTGGCATATTTTTGGCGTTAAACTATAGTATGTCCAATATTATCTGTTCGGTTAACTTTGTTAAGATATCTTATATATTTACCGATATATACAATTGAAGCCCAATGAAAATCGTATATTAGATATATGGGGGATAGGGTATTATTGACCCGATTTTATATATTTTTGATAATACTACATGTTATTAACAGAAAAAGATGTTGTCCGAGTTTGATTGAGGTACCTCATATACCATAAACAGTATATAAGGAGTAAAGTCAACTGGATATTTCAAAATCCTTAGTTATATGGGCTAGTGCAAGTTTTCATCCGATTTTATTAATTTTAGGCACAGAGATGCACCGTTAGGAGCAAAGCACGCACACTGAATTTAAATAAGATAAAACACATGTTGACTGATGCGGTATAAAGTCAGCTGGAAGTTCGAAAACTTTTCTATTAGTTATATGTGGACCAAGGGAATTAATTTTGGCACACGGGCATATACATATCAGGTAGAGATTTTCTCTGAGTCTTTATAATACATCTCACTGATTGACCGATATTTTCGATAAAATGCTCGCAATAGGAACTGGGGTCCATATATAGTCCTCTCGTACCATCTCGGATATAAAATATAATGTCTCTGACGTATTTATTTATTGACTTATTGCGTTTTAAGTAGTTTTTAACAGTACCGTTATATTAGGCGAGGTTATCATCCGATGTCGGTAGTGGTGCTTAAGCGATTTATTCTGATCGAATTTCGTTATTATAGCTATAGTGGTTTAGGAGGTATGTACATTAAACCTCTTAGAGGACGGGGCCTTGCCCATTTTTTCAAAAATTGTAATCCCCAGGTGTCACTTGCTTCTGTGATCTCCTGTGCCAAATTACAGTTTTATATCTAGTTAAGTGCTTAGTTGTGGCAATTTATAGATTTTCGTTTAATGGCGTTTTGTGGACGGTGGCAGTGGTCCGTTTACGCCTATCTACGAGCTCGTCCTTAAATTTCATCCAAGGAAAACGTGTAACAAGTTTACTTTTGCAAGAGTATACAAACTGATCTAAAATATGTAAGACAAAACTTGGTAACACTGAAGATAGCGTCTATACCACTTTAATGAGGTATCCCCATACTCTTTTGCACGAATGCAACTCGATAACTTTTTAGTTGCTTTTATATGCAATCTTATCGTCCAAGTACATACACAAAATACACGCAAATCTCGTTTCTTGATATATCCTGTTAAATACCATAACGTTTTATTTTTAGAAACTCAAAACGTAAATGTTTATCTTTGTTTCTTTTATATTTTACAGAACCAAAATAAAAGGCGCCCGCATACACTCATTGTCGAACAGTATCGTATTGAATTTATCGAATGGAACTGGCATGCGCCCAAGATCCGACGCCACTCAGTTCTCTTTGGCGAAGAGATAAGCCAGTGGAATACTTTATTTTATATTTTTTGTGTTGATTGGTATATATGTACCATAGTTAAAAATTAATACCATAGTTAAAAATTAATACTATAAGCAAACATGTTTTTAGGTGTGTGTGTGTCTGTATGTGTATTCATACTTATTGCCTGTATTTATGGTTGTGCAAGTTAGGAAGTAAGAATTATAAAAAAATATAGAGGAAGCATTGTAACCAAACATTTTTGTATCGATCAAGTATATCCACTATTTACCATACATATAATTTGATACATATGTATTTCTGTTAGAGTAAAATTATTCTTTTTTTCATTTTTATCTAATACGTAATAGTAAAATAAACAATACATATGAACGATTATTTAAAACTATTTATGATGTAATAAATTTACCACAAAAGCTGGAGAACATGTTTTGTTACGTACATAGTTTGAATATTTTCAAATACACTCATAGGTACCTACATTTTATTATCAGTTTGTCTTTGCAAAAGCTTAACCCATTCGTAGGCAAGTTACACACAATAATACTTTTAATATCATTAGTTAACTAGAGGTACGTAACTTTATTCTTACATATAGGGTCAGCGGGATTTATGGACCAAATTCATTACCCTATATTATACGAAAGATTATAATCTAATTGACGTGCTGACCAATATGTTTGAGTTTGGATTAACCATAATCCCAGAGATCATAATATTTGGTATACGGGGGCTAAGGGTTGTACAGATTAACTTTTAGCGTAATTTAATAAATGTATCATCCAAATTTTTCTATTTTCATATTCAAATAAAATATTATCACCATATTTGGCTAATATAATTTTACTAGTTTGGGAGATGTGAGCATTGCAGCCGTTTTAAAAAGTACTTTGAACAACATTATTGTAAAAGTGGTTATGTGCTGATGCTCCCAGAAAGGACATTTACAAATCGCAGCATTGTAATAGTAGTCAATTTAGTGGATAAATATTTGCAATAATGGAACAAACTAGCCACATAAAACTAAAAGCTAAGTAACTTTTTCGCAAAAATGTATTTATTTTTAAAAGTTCACCCGCAACAAGTAATGGCAAAAAAAAAACACTTATGGTATTAGCATAATGAAAAATAGATAGGGAAAAATAAATTTAATAAACTTAGCTCTTTGTTACGTACTCAGAAAAGTTTAATAATGTTTTGAATTCTGAGACGACAACTCCATTCTAGGATATTTATGAACGTTGGGTTTTCATACTTTCTACCTTTCTCTCTCTCTTTCTACCACAATTCGCAAGGTAGAAAGTCGAAAAATTAAAAGGTAAGTTTAGGCTTCCTCTTAGAAACTACTGCAATGTTCGGGAAGCTTAAAGAGTTGTCTGAGATCCAGCTCCAATCATCATCACCAAAATCCATTTTTGATCCGTCTGTTTAGATGTTGTAAGTTCCGCTGGTTTACAAGCTTTTGCGCCATCCAGCCTCTTTTAGTGTGACTTATGTAAAACCTTATCTCCCAAATAAAGCTCGAGGAAATGTAGTCTATTTTTTTCTTCTTGTAGAGTGGTAAATGGCTAAAAGAATATGTACTTTGCAATTAAAAGTGGTTTTTTTTTCATTAAGTTATCAAACTCTAAGAAAAACACAAATTTATCTTAACTAGTCAAACTTTAACCGTTAGTATCTTTTAAACGGTTGGGTTTACGAAAAAATCGCAATAAGCCTTCTTTGAAGAGCATTCAATTTTCATCAAAATCCACAAATTGAAATGTTTTTCAAATATTTGGTAGCAAGATATACATTTTTCTATCTGAAAACACTCGTTTTTTTTATCCACCCTACTCTATAGATATATATTTATGGCTACGAGAAGGGAATGTCCTCATATTCTGTATCGGGGAACTCAAAGTTTTCGCTTTTGCCTATTTTGAGACGAGGGTTTTCACACTTTAAAAGCACCATTTGTGCAAAGTTGTATGCCGATATTTGCATTAGTTCTTGATTTATATATTGTTAAGTGAAAAAATCTGATGGAATTTAAAAATGTGTTTTATAAGGAGTTATAGTAGTTAAATTTTCAAATTGTAGTTTATGGTAAATTGGTCGACTAGTTGTGGAGATGTGAGCATTTAATTAAAGAAAGGAAGAGAATGGTGCTACGCTCAATGTCCATTTCTACGCCGATTTACATGCAGCCTTTCAAAACCATCTTTACTGTAAAATGTACGGCTATTTACGTATTTATTGAGTAAGTTAACGTTTTGTCGTTTTTAATGCAGTTAATATAATTTGTCACTCGTCTGCACACTTTTTCAAGAATTCCCATGAGAAAAAGTTTCCTACAAGTTTGGTTGATGTACATACATAGCTGTGGTGGATCGTAAAATATATATATTAAGTAATTTAGAAACCGTGGGCACTCTACCTTTATAAACATTTTTATATTAAGATGCTCGTCTTTACTTAATATAACTGCATCAGCAATATCAACCTCCTCTGAGCAATAAGTAACACGAGTACATAGTTTCATCAAGAAATCTCGATTTTTTTTGTAAGTTATTGCTTGCACCGTTTGATGGACCGACAGATAACCATTCAGGACTAAACTTGTTTTGTAATCAGTTTGATATATATTATATATAACTGAAAGAGGAATGAAGAGTTATAGGCAATTAAAGTATGCTTTATTTCAACTAATAAATTATTATTTTATAAAGCAATAAATATATTTTAAATTACAATTTTTGTTAGCTATCTGAATATCGAAAATAATTCATATCTAATTAAAAATAAACAATACCTCAATGCAATGGAGTGTACAATATTTTGGATCAGTCTGTTTTTAGGAAATGGTTTGCCCATGTGAGAACATACCACATATGTTAAAGTTGTCCGTGGGAAAAACATGATATATCCAAACCTAAGCCACAAACAGACAACGTGTGGCCTTGATTTACTATTCGTCATTGCGAACGCGAATCTAATTGGAAATTGAGAGAATTTGAATTGAATTGGCATTCAAATTTTGTAATTCATAATTTTGACTTCAATAATGTTTTAATTACTAGTTTTGTGCCATTGCAAAGCCGTAGTGGGTTCATATTAAGAAGCAAAATTGCCGGAGATGAATTCAAAAAGTCAATTGATTTGTACGACACCAAGCTCTGTGGCAACAACTATTGTATTACTCGAATTTAATGGATTTATATCTTGAAATGACAATGGTCCGGTGAAATTACCCAACAACAGTCTCAGATAAAAGCACTCAATCTGCCTTGATTGACTGCACATACACGAATCAATTATTATAGCATGATTTTGTTGGTGAAAAATACGCGTTAGCCATTTTCGAGATGCAGAATAAAATTGATATCTGATGGATCCTGTTTACGAATTTAGAAACCGAAGATACGCCATGCAGCTTCATTGCAGATGATATACCGGCTAATTTGGTACTTCGTTACTTCATCATTATCATTTATTGGAGGAGCAGTTACAATAGTATTTTCAATTCTAAATTCACTTCCTTTATTCACATACTTGCAAATATATTTGATGCTTTTTATCGAATTCTAGAACTCAACATTAATGTCGTATAAGTATTGAATGTTTTATTCAGCAGAGGTGAACATGGTACCACCCAACGATTGTGAATGTCAATGTCTGCGCTATTTATATTTTTAGCACTAAGAAATACGGTAATGTTAAATTCACTATATGAATAAAATTAACTTGAGAATTACGCTGAAAAATTATAATGATACGTATAGCAGTCAGAGCTACGATCGAGACACAAAAAAGATCAAATAAACAACATGGACAAAAATTGAACAGAGAGGGAGAAAACAGAAGCCCGCTTCGGTTTCGTCCCGACTACGTAACCAGCAAACGGTTCACAAGTGACAATAGGAGGCGAGCATAAGTGGTTGATTCATACAACTATGATATACATGAAAATTATAGTATATGACAATTATTATATTCGATTGCCATTTTGTGGATCTATGGATGGAACGGTATGATAAAAAATTGCGATTAAAAATCAGGGGTTGATCGTATAAGGGTGAACATTTAGAACTGTGGTATTTTTCAATGCTGAATCATGTAAAAATATAAGCAAAAAAAATTGTACAATAAATAAAAAGAAAAAAGAATGATAATTTAAGTGGACACTCTTAACATTTAGGAGTATAAAAAATAGATGTTAACCAATTCTCAGACTTACCTGATAAGCGCACCAAGCTTCATCTAAATCGGTACAGCCGTTTAGAAGGAGTTTGGCATATATTAGCTTTCTATCACGATTAGTTTTTGGTGTTCCAAACTACCGTTAGGTGAACATAGCTAAAACTCAGTGCAACTTGTTGCGAGAGTATAAAAATGTGTATGAAGTTATAGTTTAAGCCATTAAAAGCAAATCCAGTTCGCATTGAGTATCGTTACGTCATTAGTTTGCATGAAAACGATTCTGTCCGTCGACTTTTAGTTATAATTAAATAAATAAGTAAGATATTTTATAAGAGTTAAGTAAATTTTATTTTACGTCTGCGAAAATATGAAGTGTGCGGTTTTAATCGTTATTACGTCAGAAAAGTATTCCAACCCATTCATCTTTACTAATGTTCTGACAAATTTGTGAATGGAACGGATGTACTATGGTTCAAGTAGAATATGACTAATATACACACACATAAAAGGAAATACAAATGGTTAATGAGTAAGAATAAGTTTCCTTTTAACGACCTCAAAAAATTATTTAGAAAATTGTAGTATTTTTTATTCACTTACCGTATACACTAAAACTTTTACTAAAAAAACCGGACTATGTGCAATTTTTGTTTAAAATGGAGTTAAAAAAAATTTCATTTTTATTTTAATAAAATGGGGAAAGATAAATACAATGACTTTTCAATATTTTTTGATTAATCTCGATACAAAATCAGTGGTGGATTTTAGTCGTTACGGATAATAAGCGGGGGTCGTGTACAGCATGTGTATCTAGTCGATGACGTTGCGCAAGAATAGGCTTGGGGTCGTTCGTCGTCCCTTTTGCTTGCTTTAGTGTGGTGTATAGTATGTCTTTATGTGTAGTGTGATCCTGGTGATTGGATGTTCTGGTCTATATGGGGTGTTCTGGGCAAATTCTGTAATTGTTACAGCGTTGCTACAACACTGCTGATACCAGTGGGGCGACGGAACGATGGTCTGAGCTTCAGTTGTGGTAGTGTCCAATATGCTACAATGTTGTAGCAGGTGTGAGTCGATACACCGGACATCATGTGCGGTGTGGCTCCGTTGGCACCAATGGCGACGCTGGCGGTGGTTGTGTGGTATTTCGCGCGATGGCTGCGACGGTTGTTGCAGCGGTGGCTAGGGGCGTTGGAATAGGCTCAATGCGTGGGCCCGTATGAAAAAGTTAGATTTGGTATACGTTTCTGGCATATAAATTGATATGGGCAATTGTGCCACGTTATGTGGCAGGCGTGGGTCGCATATTGACCGATCATTTCTGTTTGGTTTGTGATTGTTTCAACGGTTTTTATTTGGGAGTTTATCGGTATATTTGCGAGTTTATCGGTCGATTTATTTAAATTGATTAACATTTGATTTTCGGTAGTGCTGGCGGTTGGTAGGAAGCATAGTTTTACGAGAGGTCTGGTTAGCGTTCCTGATTGCGTGAGGAAATCTACTACTCGGATATGACCGTCGGAGCTGTAATGGAGCTTTTCTATGCCGCCATTCTGTAGGAAAAAACAATCATCATGGATTAGGACGCAATCTCCAAGTTTTGGCGCCTTTCCTGGAGTTTTCCATTGGTACCTCTTGTGGAGGT